TTGGGGGGGGGGGGGGGTAATTGCATTGTTGTATCCTGCATAGTAAAGGATGTAGTATTTCTCCAGGCCCCTGTACGGTTTTTGTTGAGGATTGCAACGTTGAATTTCATATTAGAGGTTTCGTACATGATTTGGTTCCTTCTGGCGGTATCTGTATAGTAAGCTGCTTGGCCACTGAAGGGCTGTGTAGGTCACCTTTGACATTATTTGGCTGATATACCCCTAAATAACCCTACCACAGCTTGACAGGTTGACTCGTTTTGGGCAAGGAAACTCAGGCCCTAAACTAGGGTTTAAAGATGTGGTTTAAGGTTTAGGGGTGTATAGGGTTTTAAGGTTTAGCTTTGGGTAAGGTTGTCAAGTTTAAGCGGAGGCTTTTGCTACATGTTCGAAGGTGTACTACGAGCGCATCTTCTTGCTGCGTCGTCGTGAGCTTGACTGGCTGCTGGAGCACATGCCAGCACTTCGCTTGACCAACTAAGATTGACTTGCCCTGGGAGTGTAAGTGCTAGCATGGATAACTCAATGGGGCTTTTCGGATTCTGGGGAAGCATTCCTCTGTCCTAAACTGCACTAAGCCCTAGTCCTGCAAAGGCTTTCATGGGCTCGGCTCGGCTGTTCCTCTTTGGCCACTCCGAGGGGGCTATGGTCGCCGCCAGGCGCGGAGAGAGGGCAAAAGATGGGTTAGGGTTTAGGGTTGTTTCGGGTCTCAATAGTAACACACAGAATAACTTTAGCACTGTAAGGGCACGAATTGTGGCGACATTGATAATAATGATGACAATAGTAGAAAGGGTCCCACTGTACAGTGTCTATACTGAGTTGCTATTGCTGAAGTATGAGCATCAGGGTTTAGGCCATTATAGATGGTTTGGCCTTGCCAGGTCATTTATCGGATATCAGAGTTAGGAATATGCAAGGTTGGATGGCATAAGAGTGCGCGCAGGAAATGGCACGGGGGGTGCATGATCACTGTTCTGCTCATCTGGGTGCGCAGGGGGCAGAAGTAAATTTTCCAGCGATATGAGGAAGAGGTTATTGCAGTTGTACCCTAAACTCTAAACCCTTAACCCCAAACTTAAGCCCTAAAGCACAGTTGCTCATTGATTATCTTCCTAATGAGTTAAGCCCCAAACACAAACTCGACACTGAGCATGGTCCTTGTTAGTTCAGGGATGTGTGAGAGTGTGGGCAGGTACTACCATCCGGCACTTGCGGAGCGCTTGAGCGGCAGAATCATTTCAGCCTGGAGCTGCGAGGAACGGGTCCCTTAAAACCCTACCTGGACCCCCAATTGGGCCATTATTTTACCTATTTTGGGGGTTTAGGTATACCCTAAACCCCCACAGCCTAAGGATGTTAATTTTCAGGGTTTTTGGTTAGTTGAGTTTTAAGCCAAAAAAACTGACCTAAGCGCGAGACCCCTAGACCCAAACTGCGAAGCGCGGTAATGGTTTAGGAATCTGGGCGTTTGGGGTCTAGGGTTTGAGGCTGTAGGGTTCGCGGTAAGTGGCAGTGAGCGCGAGGAAAATTATTTCGTGGGCTCGAAAGCGGGCTCCCTGATCTGCGATGGGCAATGTGACTTGGGCTTTCTGTAGGATTGTGGTGCTTAGAATATGAAAGTCTAGCGTTAGAGCTGTATTCAATGTTTTAAGAGCTTAGGGTTCAAGGTGCCTCAGGTGTTCATTTGACCGTCTGGGCGGCTAAGCATCAAGCAAATCCAAGCGTGAACACCCTCCTTCCTGTGGGAAGCTCATCAAGTAAGGTGAAGAGCGTGCCCCTGTGCTCAATATCATTGGGACTGAAGACCAGTTCTTCTCAAGCCGGAGCTTCTCCGTAGCTGCACAGGTGGCCAACTCGTCGGTACACTATGGGTCCAAGGAGCTTCGTGGCCACTGCCTGAACTCTTTTGGCGCTGGAAATGTCAGGTCTTCTGCTGTTCTGCTGCTGCAGGGGGCAAGTCATGATGTTTCTTTGACTCATGACGATGCCTCTCGCAGCTTCCTCAGCGAGTTCTTGAGCTCCCCCCATGACTTCGTGCGCGGAGATGCGCGATCTTTGAAGCTCTTGTGCAAGACGGAGAAGCGCGGGTTGCATCTGTGCCAGGAAGATGGTCAGACCGAACCTCTACTTGAGACAGAGTCGGGCCTGGCGCACACCGTCTACCACTTCCCACCTTGCGGCGCCAGCACATCGGAGCTGCCCTCCGTCGCGGCGGGGCGGGCTGTAGCGTTCCTGCTACCTTCTTGGCTGCTTCTCGGCCTCAAATTCGATTCGGAGTCAAGAAGTCCGAACCCCGATACTCAAGCAATTTGCCAGGAAACCCTCAAGCAAGAACCGAGGGGCCAGGGAATGTTCAAGCCTGACCTAGAAAGGATCTGACCGGATCTGACCTGTTCAGTGCCCATTGGCAATGAGCACCGAGAAGACGACGGAAAAGTGCAAAAAATAGCAGTAGCAACCCAAGCAAAACTGTGAACAGAATTCAAACATCGACAGTGTTGGGAGTATTGATGTTGACATACAGGTGCACATATGATGCATATGTTGGTTTGGTTCAGGTCGATACTGCTGTTAAAGATGCCGTCCTCCTTCGCCGTCGGAAGTGTGTGGACGGTGGTATCCAACCTGGTGATATAGGGGCCGTAATAATCAATAAGTACCGGTAGTAAGTTGGGGGTTCCTTACGATAATAAACATCTAATATACCCCAAAATCCTATTCTAATCTAATTATTCAGGCCCCTACCTGGTAGGATGTTGAAGCCGAAAGCCCGCGACTCCCTGAGATTAGAATACCCTGAACCCCTTGGTTTAGGGTTTCGGGTTTCCTGAAACCCATTAAGCCCCCCCAAACCGCAAACACTAAACCGCTATAAACCCCTAACCCCCAAACCCCTAAACCATCCTAAACCCCTAAACCCCTCACCCCTAAACCCCTAAGCCCCTAAACCCTGAACCCCTAAACCCCGAAGCCCCGAAGCCCCTAGACCCCCAGTGAAGGCTCCAGGGTGCCGATGACGTGACCTTGGTCGGCCTCGCCCTGTTTCTGGGTCCTTGTTGGATACAATTTAGGGTTTAGGGTTTAGGGTATAATAAAACCCAAATAAGGATTGAAAATTGCTATTTTTGATATGGCCCCAACCGGGAACCAGGTTTCTGCGACTGGCCATCGCCTTCTTCGCGGTCTTCGTCTGCTGCTTCCTACTGCGCCTGGCCTGAACGCACGACTATCACGGTTTAGGGTTTCGGGTTCAGGGTTTAGGGTGTAGGGTGATGTAAGTTCTATAGAGCCTATTATAATCCCAAAACCCCTAAACCCCTGGACCCTAATGCTTCATATTCAAGGTTTACGTTCGCGATTCTGTGAGCTTCGGGATTGGAATCAAGCCTTTGTCAGGTTTTGAGGTTCAGGGTTGAGGGGGTGAGGGTTCAGGGTTTAGGGTTTAGCGAGGTTCAGAGTTTTACATCATGCATACCATTTCTTAGATTAGGGTCCTAAAAAGTTTCTAAAACTTGTTCTTTGCGGGTTCCTTCTTATAGGGTATTTGAATAAGATAAGTAAAGAAAGACAGGATGCTTTGCAAACCGGTTTGAGTCAATTACTTGAGCCCACCGTGCACACTGTGATTTGAGTTCCACCAATAAGGGACCCTAGTAACCGAGTATCGGCGCGAAACAGTTAACAGCAGGATCCGTAAATGAGGACTCTCATACACCCGCAAGCCGTAATCGCTGACCTAAACTACCTACAGTCTCCAGTCTAGTTCCTTTTTTGGTTTAACCCATTTTTATAATTAAGGAACCTAAAAGGTAACCCCAAAAAGGAACTACAATGGCGACTATAGGTAAACCCTAAGCCCTAGGCCCTGAACCGAATCCTTCTATTCCGGCTGTAGCAGGGCGGAAAGGGGACCATCAGAAAAAAAAAGCAGCGACGCCTTGCTACAGAGTAACCCTAAACCCTAAACCCTAAACACAGAGAAAGGCTATCAGCGTCGACCCTCAGCGGCTAGCCCAGTCATGAGTCAAAGCCGGCTTAAGTCCCGAAGCCCTCAACCCTGAACCCTACACCCTTAAACCGGGCTTACATATATATAGGGCTTATAGGTTGTTGGGGGTTTAGTGGTTAGGGTTTAGGGTTAAAGGGCTTATATCGGTTTTTGGCGGTTCAGTGTTTAGGCTGTAGGGTTTTAGGGCTTACAGGTTTTTCGTGGTTTTAGTGTCTAGGGTTCAGGGCGAAGGGCTTTGGGTTTCCGGCCTGCGGCGGCCTGCGGCCTTAAGGCACCGTGCTGTTGACCGTAGGGCTTGGGACTTCCGGCTGAAGCCTCTCTTTAAGGGACCATAGGAGGGACCCCTAGAAGGGAGCCCTAATCCTAATACCCTATATAACTCTTACATACTCCTTATGTAGTCTCATAAAGCCCCTCTATAACCCCAAGGATCCCTTTAAGGGTCTCTCCTTTAGTCCCTCGATCTCTGGAGTTCAAGTTTGGGAGTCGGGGTTTAGCTTTGCTCCCCGAACACCTACTACCGGCTGACTCTGACACCCGAAAGCCTTGAAATTTAAAGCCGTAGAGTATAGCATAGCCCTACGAACCAAAACCCCTAAACCCCATGCTGAACAACTCAGGTGTGGCTGCCGCCGCGGCGTGCCAGGGATCTCGAAGTGGGTTCGGGGTTCGCAGACAAGACCTCGTGTGGCCGATGTCACCAGGATCGCCGAACCACTGGCCTGAAGATGCCTGAAGTGTAGTGCTGCATTCTGGGGTTAGTATGGGTTGCTGTAGTATCATGGGTTTCTGCGGCCTGCTATGGGACATTTTGGGTCTAGAATAATCCTTAGAGGTTCTAGGGTTTTCAGTGGTCTGGATCTTGCGGAATTTAGGCCTTCAGGGTTCATCGGCCATAAATAGTAGACTTCGTGATTGAAGTCTGTTGCAGGGCCTCGGGCTCCACCCGGCATTTGAGGGTTCGAAATTGACTCAGGGGCCTCATGCAGAAGCTTTCCAGGACGCTTTTCCAGCCCATTTTAAACGGGGCACTCCTGGGAGAAGATGAAGCTCACAGGCTCCATTGCAAGTTAAATCTGGTATCCATGATGCCTCAGTGTTTGGGAATTAGCGTAGAAATTGGCTAGTTGGAGGTTGATATGGTGATATCACCAGTGATTAAGAGGCTGGCATTTTCGCAGGGGTATTGAATCATCTCACTTACAACGCGGGGTACCAGACAGAATTATTTACTCCTTCGTTGACCTTGAGCGTGCGATGGCAAAGGCCGTGCGCCCGCTTCGGATTCGCTTGCAGGTAAGCAAACTGAATCCTAATACGCCGACGCGTCCATGTGGGACTTTCCCAAAACTAAGGTACTTTATCTTGGGGTCCTTATAATAAGGATCCTACTATTAAGGGTACTGTATTAGGGTCCCCTATTTTCGGAAACCCCCATGTGACTGCGACGACTTTTTCTCCTGAGCCCCGTGCCTACACATGCTGGTGCCCCTTCTTGGGGGGTCCTTGCAGCAAGGATCATCATTGGTCCCCTATTGGTTTTGGAAGCTCTTTCATCATACCCTAAACCCTAAAACCCTAAACCCTAAAACGAATATCAAATCTCAGTAGGCAAGGAGAAAGGGTGTCAAATCCTTCCGGCTGCTGCCGGCCGGGGAAACTGGGAGTTTCAAGAACTAAGCAACCGCAGCGTGAACACCGCTGTGGGGTTTAGGGTTGACGGTTGAGGGTTTGGGGTTTAGGGTTGAGAGTTAAGGGTTTAGGTATGCGCAGGTAGTAAATGGGCAGTCAAAGAAGGATTTATTTTGAAATATGTCAATGACATGTATTAATCAGATGTGCAGTTACATTGCGCGCATGCCCATATGTTGTCTGTGCTCCTTGGGTTGTTGATCCTCAAGCAATACATATCTATATCTATGTCTATATCTGTATCTGTCTCTGTAGCTATACCTCTGTCTCTATCTCTATCTCTATATCTATAGCTCTATCTATCTATCTATCTATCTATCAGTCTATCTATATATATATGTATGTATGTATGCAGGACTTTATCTTCTGTATAGACGCACGTCTCTGCAAAGCGGATCGCAATGCTAGGTTCCAGGTCCCAGAAACTCCCGGATGACCTGAATCTGAGCCGCTTTCTCGCATGACTTAGAAGGATGTCGCGGGGACCACCACAGAAGACCGCTCGAACTAGCAAGAAACACGGTAGACACGCAAAGTCGAAGCCGAAAGCCTGCAACCCCTAACCCCGAACTCCTGAGCCGTCCGAAGCCCCAAACCGCAACCCGTGAGGCCCTGCCCTCACAAACACCCCAAAACCCCGAAGCTCTGAACGTAGCTGGCGCCCCGAATGAATCACTGCACCGAGCGGACGGAGCGGGCAGCTCGCCTCTTCTGTGCATCCCTCGACTTGCCTTCAGATCCTTAAGGACCAACATACGGGTTGTTCTCTAAATCGGGGTCCCTTTGTAGGTTCCCAAAATAGTAATTAGTCGCGGCACCCTCATAAACAGGACCCTAAAAGGGACCCTTAGAGAGCTACCCTTCTAGAACCCTTAGATCCCTTAGAGGAACCCTAAAGAGGATCCTAAAAGAAATGCTAATCTAGAGAGCTACCCATACCCTACTCGTCAGAGTTGATGAGAGCCCTGGTCTCCGCACCCTCAAGACATTGTTAAACTACGGCTTTATGTTGGAGGTCACAAGATGCAAATCATGATCCCGAAGCCCTAAACCCATGAAATCCATATCCCTGACCCCGAAACCCATGAAATCCAGGACCCCTAGAAATAGACCCATGAAATCCATGATCCCTAAGCCCCGGCACTGGCCCTCAAGGGTTGAAATCGCTTCTGCCCATGGATCTCAAGAAGCCGTGGGACTGCTTCGGCGCCGTTGTGCCAGCATCCAAACTGCCGAAAAGTTGCTCCAGTCTTTTCCCCGAACCTGCAGATTTGGAGGATTGTGGGTCAGGTCTGTCGGATTGAAAGATTAGGGCCTAAACGCTAAACCCAAAAACCCTAAACCTAGAGGACGTATGGAACCAGATGCCTGGACGATCGTCTCTGAATGGGAATTGATCTCTGTCAGTCTACAGGTACGATATTGGGGCAGGCTGCAGCTGAAGAGTAGAGTAGAGGTGTGACTAATTGATACTGAGTAGTAGTGGAAGGAACTGTAGTAGTAGTAGTAGTAGTA